AAAGAAAATATTACGGTGTTTGTGTTATGATACTGAATCAATATGCATAAGTAGTATACCGATTTTTTAACTGAGAATTGACATTTACTGCATTTCTTTTGTGTGGTGTAATTCAAACTCTGACTGCTAGGTTGCAGCAGGTTTTACCAACTTCATTCTGACGCAACAGCGACAGTGCTTTTGTTTCCTTTAGTGACGTGCTGTTATGCAGGTAACATTTTGACCTATTTATTGTGAGTTTTTCATAAATTAAATTCAGTCTTAAAAATTCCAAATATCATCGGGCTCTTAGTATCACAATATATCGTATCATCTCCCCTGTATTGCGATATGTATCGTATCGCTAGACTTGCCAATATACTTTCCTGTTACACAATATATGGGAAAATCAAAGGCACCGTTTAACGTTCGCAGGCTTGCAACGAGGAAGGCTGTTGTTGATATAGCATCCAGGAAACAGCAGAGAATGTCTCGGCTAGTAGAAGCTAACTGTTAGCTTCAGCAACTCCACATCATGGCAGAACTCCTTCAAGCTTGTATTGTTTGTGGTGATAAAACGCTGTAAAAAAATAATAGAGTCATTGGTAGAGTTGTGTTGCTGTTAGCCAATCAGAGGAGATGTCCAAATATCAGGAAGTAAGACTCCAAATCCTGTTGTCTGAAGCTACTTTCTCCTCCAGCTGACTTGTACACCCTCAAACAGGCATATCTGAGCTTTATTTTCCCAGGAGAAGAATGTACAAGGAATTCATTCCTATTTGAGTCCACTGTAAATGTATTAAAAATATAAGTAAGGTTGACCTTTAAACCTGCCTGACCTGAAATTTTAAATTAAATTCAGTCTTAAAAATTCCAAATATCATCTGGCTTTTAGTATCACAATATATCATATTGTCTCCCCTGTATTGTGAAATATATTATATCAGCAGATTCTTGCCAATACAATTCCCTAGTGACAGCCATCTTAATTTGGGTTTATGCCAAAGGTTAATCAGTTGGGGAGCTTCCCAATAGCTCTGATTGTTCTAGTCACTCACAGGTAACTATTGCTTATCAGTGCATGTTCACACTTGTGTTTGAGCTTTGTTTGAACCTTCAGGGATAACCTTTGGTTGGCAAGAAGCCAGCAGCTTTAGGGAGGTCCCTCCAGCCTCCCACATACTACAAATCCATGTGCATGCACGCTCTAGTGAGTGCATGTGGACATTTTGAGCTTGACCTGGAGACACCTACAATGATCGACCGCAAAGCTTCTTAGCCAGTGATAGGCTGAGACTGAGCCTACAATAGCACCGTAATACCACATCTCACACACACACACACACACACACACACACACACACACACACACACACAGGTAGAGAGGATTTAGTGGTTTCATTAAAACCAGATCTAGTTGAGTTGAGATGAAAGTCAGTGTCTGTGTCTAATCTCACATATAAGCAAGTTTCACACACAAACCCACCAGAACACCCTGCTCGGTGTCTCCCAGACCTCTTCCTTGTACAATGCTTTCTTTTTTCTGATGTGGTCGTTCTTCCGTTCTCACATCTTTCTTCATTTATTTCTTTTTCAACGTGGCAGCCCCATTCAGAGCAGGGTATTTTCTGCTGTTTCCACCTCCACCCTGTCATCCACTCCACTGCTGCAATGGACAGGGTTATTGTCAGCCCGTCACCCACAGGCAAAGGCAGGTTGCCAGGAGAAACCATTAGACTGATGGATAAAGAAGAGAATATAGCAAAGAGAAGAGACACAAACTTTGATTGGGTTTTCTTTACAAGTTTTCATTTTAGCCTAAGGGTCCATAACATTTTGTCCAGGGAGCTCCTCCTCCTGGCATCAAACTTGCATGCATTTTCTTTATTTCATACTCTGCTTGATCAAAAGCTGATAAACATAGCAGATGTGAGACCTAATTAGAATCAATCATCATGTCAAACATACAGAGCATTGGTAGAACCTACCAGAAAACATGTCAGGTCTCATTTTTGCAGCTTTGACTTTAACCTTCAACAGCAAACTGTGTAGTTCTACGCTAACTAACCTTCCAGCCTTTTGAACTTAACTGTAACATACTGTCATAAAAAGTTTAACTTTTAGATGTTTCTTGGTGGTTTTGGTTGCAGTGTTGAAAGCTGGCATGACTCTGGTTTTTGACATTTCCTCTGAGCTTTAACATTCAGCCTCGATGATTAAACAAAAACAAAGTTTAGCTAGGAAGCTGAATGTAGTTCTGTCCAGGCATGTTAACGTATTAACCACTTCTGTCACCTTGTCTTACATCATCGACCTGTCCTCTGTTGGGAACGTTTCCTGCTGTCTCCTCTTTTTTCTCTATTTATTCTTTTCTCTATTGCCTCCCTTTCACCTCTGATGTTTCCACATTAGTGATCTGTGTGTGTGTGTGTGTGTGTGTGTGTGTGTGTGTGTGTGTGTGTGTGTGTGTGTGTGTGTGTGTGTGTGTGTGTGTGTGTGTGTGTGTGTGTGTGTGTGTGTGTGTGTGTGTGTGTGTGTGTGTGTGTGTGTGTGTGGGTGTGTGTGTGTGTGTGTGTGTGTGTGTTCCACAGACAAAGATGAATGCAGTAAGGACAACGGTGGCTGCCAGCACGAGTGCGTTAATACAGTGGGCTCTTACGTTTGTCAGTGTCGTCATGGCTTTGTGCTGCATGAGAACAAGCACGACTGTAAGGAAGGTGGGTTTCATTTCCGCATGCACACACACACACACACACACACACACACACACACAATCAACAATAATCCCAAGTGATTGGAAATGTGGTTGATCTTCCAGAGTTGTGACTTGGTTGTGAGTTGGTTTATAGTTACAACTGTTTGGTTCACCTTTTTCAAAGGTGACCTTTAGTGCTGTTTAGGATTTTAGTCTCAGCTTGAACTTGTATCAAAAATTCCTGCCTGACTCACATTTGGCTTAAAGATCCACGTCAAGTAATATAAAAGGTACACAACATGGAAGAACAGTGAAATGATCACCATACAGTCTAATGTCTCAATCATGTTGGAAGGAATGTAACACTGGGTGGTTGTCATTTCTTCTGCTTTCAAAATGGCCAAAAAGGAACCTAGTCACTGATGTCTGAGTCCGTGTGGGTGCTGAGTCTGTGCTGGCTAACACACCAGAGCTGGCATTTGTAATTCCACACTGGTGGGTAAAACACAGCAGCGTTTTGTACCTAAGCATGTAACAGGAGCCCAGAAGTTACTTCTTGTACCCCTAAGAAGCCATGGCATATTTTTGTTTTAGAGGCTAATGTTGAGCTAACAGTGCTAACAGTGAACTGGAAGCAAATAGTCGAGTCTAAAAATAGCTCAAGCTTCTTTTTCAATTACCAGTAAACTGATATTACAGTGAAATGTATTTATCTACTTATGACTCAACTTCACTAATCATCTAGTCTTCTGGTGCTGAGCTGCAGCTGGCAGCAGACATTAAAGTCACAGAGAAAGTAAGAAAATGACACTTTAAATGGGTTAACTGTACAATAAGGGTCTCTTTATTAACGTTAGTGTATTATTAAGCATTAATAAGCAAAGAAACCCATTATAAACGTACTTAATGTTGTTAACTGTCCTTAAGATTAAGACAAAGGGCCGGTGTGTGTGTGTGTGTGTGTGTGTGGGGGGGGGGGGTCTACTTAGCAATGCATTACTTAATATCATAAATATTAAGCTGTTGTTATTACTTTATTTAATCATTTATTCGTGCTAAAGAATACACTAGGTAACGTTAATATAGGGACCTAAAAGTGTTACCAAAACGGACTGCAGTAACTAACTTTGACCACAGGATGTCACTCTTACACCATTCTTACATCATGCACCTTTAACATCTGAAATCAAACATTGTTGTATGAAATTATTACATTGATATCATGAATGAAACACAGACTTGTTTTAAATTTTTCATAACAAAGGGAGCTAAAAAGATTGAGACATCAGTAAAATGTTTATTAAAACCGTTTTGGATGTCCCCACAGTCATACAAACACTGCTGAAATTTTAGACCAATCTCTTTGAAGTCCAACTTTGGTACACAGACATAAACTCAACATCAACACACACATGAACACCCCAGTAAAGGTACCTTGTGATGCTCATAAAATGACTTGTATTTCAAATAACTGGGAGCTTAAAGACTTCACATATTGCTCTGTCTGTACATGTGTTTGTTTCACGAGGCTTGCTTGACCCGGTAACCTTGCAGAATCATGCTGATCCACTTTCCCATGACAAGGCATTTTTTTGTAAGTTGACTTTCATAAAATCTAACGTTTGTGTAAAGATGTCACCTGGTAGATTAATGTAAAAAGACATCAAATCGTACACTCTATAAAGGCATTTGTTGATTGCAACTGTTAGCTACTGAATAAAGGTAACCGGATGGCTATTTTCAGCCATTCCAACCAATAACAATAGAAAATGTAGAATTAGACATTTGCATTAAACACGTTTTTAAAAGTTGCACTGGTTGAATTTGTTTAGGAAAGGATGCCCGCCAGTCTCAGACTCACGGCTGTTTGTCTTTAGCATGCCACCTGGATTCCTACCAGCATTCATCTAACTCACAACACGTGTTCTCAGATGCCACATGTGACTACAGTGGCTGTCTTTGATATAGGGTTCTGGGGAGTTTTTCTGAAAAGAGCTTCCAAAGTTCCCTTCTGAGACTCTGACTTCCAACCAGGTGAAGTTTGTTGACAACACGCTGCAGTTTTAGTCAGCAGACTTGATTCTGAAGTGAATGGCAGCTGAATGATAACAGCTGAAAAGTGTAAACATGTTTCTCTGCTACAACTCACCTGACTTTAATGTGATTATTAGGTTTCTGTGGAACTTATGAGCTGCTGAACAGGTGATTCAACTGTTTAACCAGGTGTGTTGGAGCAGGGAAACAGCTAAAACATTCTGGATAGTGGCCCTTGAGGACCAGGTTTGTAGACCCCTGCTCTCTAGACCATATTTGGTATGAAGGCAAGAAAATGGAAGCTACTTCTGTCACCAGCTAAAGCTAACTACCAAAAATCTGAATCTACAAAGAAATGAGAAGTTTCCCTTTTTTCCTTTAGATTTAGAAGTTTAAATAGATCCAGGCCAGATATACACAAACTAAAGGTAATGCCATATATATATAGTTATTTTTTATTTTATTTTATTAATTTATTAAAATATTTGTTTTGGTTAGTTGAATCACTGATCTATACTGTGCTGTCCAGTCATGGCCCTATCCTACATGTTTTAGTGGTTTCCTGCTCCAACACACTTGATTTAACTTCCTCAGCATGACTTCAAGCTCTATAAAAGCCTGATGAATCATTTTGATCAGGCATGCTGCACATGCAGGGTGACCACCAAATGTTATAAATGTTTCAGAATAGTTGCCTAACTTGTCATTATCTGAAATTTGACTAAATGGATGTGACGAGACTTTGTTTTTTTTCCACATACTGACATTGTTTCAATTCATATTTCCAGTTTATTTTTAGTATACTCCTATACAGAAGTGCAAACATAAAAACAAGTAAAAATATGCAGTCGTCCAGCTGCAGCTACATGAGTTTGTGCATGCTTTCATGTGAAATTCAGTCTGAACTTGTGACTAGAATGTGCTTTCTTTGAAATCCTTTCTCTCCTTTCGTTCTCTTGTTTCTCTCCTTCCTGTTCCCTTTCCATTTCCTCTGACCTTTTCCTGTACAGCCACGGTTTTAACTTCCTTCCTATCTGTGTGCGCTTTTGTGCTTCAGCTGAATGTGAGCATAAGATCCACAGTCCCAGCGGGACCCTGAGCAGCCCCAACTGGCCTGACAAGTACCCCAGCCGTAAGGAGTGCACCTGGGACATCACCGCCATGCCGGGACACAGAGTGAAGATCGTAAGTGTGCGATAAGATGATCATGGCAGGAGTGCCTATCCCAAAGAGCCTTGGGCTTCTTTGCCTCCTTGTTGCACACAAAAAAATCTCTTTTTCATGTTGCAGTTATGAAACCTGAATGTGAATGGAGGGATAAGCACTTGCTCAGATATTTGGGTTAACTGCAAGAATGCACTCATGTGTTAACAAGAGGCCTTGGGCACTGGCCATCTGTGTCCTTGTGTGTTTGTGTCTCTTTGCGTGATTGTATGTTTTGCCTTTACCCCCCCCCCCCACACACACACACACACACACACACACACACACACACACACACACACATCTGTTTTTCTACCCATATTTGGACTTTGGATTGACTTCCATTCAGTTTAGTAACTACATTTATGCCTAACCCAAACCCTTACCCTAACCATCTACTCCACCTAACCATAACCAGTGTACTCTTAAACCTAACTGTAACAAAAACTCAATTCACATCTTACCTCTAAACCTCGCCCCTAAGCCTAGACCATGGGGTCCACCGTATTACGACCGGGTTTTGGTCCCAATAAGGCCGATCAGTCTTCAGAAGATTAGTGAAAATGCCAGTTTTGGTCCTAAGTAGGATAGTTAAACAAGTACACACACACACACACACACACACACACACACACACACACACACACACACACACACACAGAAATCTGTTATTAGACACAGTGAAACAAACTATATTTTTCACCAAGTACTTCTGATTTTGTTTGCAAGTTTCCTGCTCAGGGAGGGGGAGTCAACTTGTGCACTCCAACAAAGAAACTTAAAGGAGCATTATGTAAGAATCATACACTGAAATTATCACAAAACAGTCTACTGTCTCAATCGTGTTGGAAGAAAGGTCACAATGAACCAGGTTTCATTATTAGCCCGGCTTGGGGGTGTCAGCTCTTCTCCTTTTGATTTAAACAGCAGTTACTGTTTACGATATTTGAGTTTGAGGTTGCCGAATCTGCAACAAACTAATGCAGCAGCATGTGCATTTATTATAATTTGACACAGTCAGGCCAAAATGTCAAGAGTTGTTAAAAAACCAAAGCCAGTAAAAAGGAGTGACCCAGAAGTTATTTCTTGTGCCCCTAAAAAGCCACGGCATCTATTTGTTTTTCTTTTATATCGGGTGAAGCAGGCTAGAGACTAACGTTGAGCTAACAATGAACACAGGATGTCCATCTTGCAGGGTGTCATTCTTACAAGTTGCACCTTTATCTCTGAGAAGCTGAAGCATGTGTTTAAACAACACATTCTCACACCCAAAGCAGCTAAAACTGACGAAGCGTTTGTGCGATGCACTGTGCCAGAGTGTCGCTTTCCAACACCCGTGGTAAAACGGACATTTCACTGACATTCAACCTCTAACCTCTAGCGATCTAACCTTTCCCTCACCCCCATCCTAACCTTAACCCAGTTTCTCATTCTAAATTTCCCATTTAACATGTTTGAGAGGAACAAGTCTACAAGAAACAAAGTTTTGCATGTGTAAGTGGGTAAAGGTTAGAATGGGGGAGAGGGAAAGGTTAAATTGCAATAGGGTAAAGGTCACAGTTTGCTAAAATCTCTGTTTCTCCGCGGGCATCAGAAAACGATGCTCTAGCACAGTGCGTCACTTCCAAACACTCGGTCACCCTTCGTGACCGCTTTGGTGTGAGAATGTGTTGGTTTAAAACAAGACACCAGAGAGGGGTTAGAAACTTCTGCTGTTAGATCAGACAGATGTGGCTTGAAGGCAAAGGGAGATATGTGGTGTTCACATGCTCATAGTTTCATGTGAATCAGTGGCCAAGACACAAAAACCTTCATACATAAATATAAAGACTGTGATTGGAGTTATATTATCTCCAATTTTCCCCATAATAGCCACACATGAAATTGCTTGTTCCATCACAGCGAGTCTAGATGGAGATATGTGGTGATGACTGCATTTATCTGGACTGTTGGTCTGCAACATCACACCAAACCACTCAAACACATTTCCTGAAACTTCTAGGACAGTTGCAGGTCCACTCTTATGCAGGTTTAAGTCCAAACTAAAGGTAAATATCTTTAGACTTCATGGTGTGTAGACACAAATAAATACAGCCCGCATAAAACATTTCAAACTGCCTTCTCTCTGCAGCCACATGACTTACTTGAATCATAAAAAAATTGGCACAGTGCCATTTAGCTTTAATAATCTGCTTATGGTAGTAGGTCCAGCTCGTTTCTGGTGAGAGTAGGACTCTGCCAAGGCTGCCCTTTGTCACCAATTCTGTTCATAACATTTATGGACAGGATTTAGATGCAGCCAAGATGCTGAGAAGACCTGTTTTGGTGGTCTAAGGATCAGGTCACTACATTTTGCAGACTATATTCTTGAGTCAGAAAAGGGTAGAAGCCTTCTTTATATTGGAGACGAGATCCTTCCTCGTCAAGGAGTTTAGGTATCTCAAAATCTTGTCCATGAATTCGGAAAGTATGGAGAGTGAAATCGATAGGCAGATTTGTGTTGTGTCTGCTGTGATGTGGGCGTTGTACCGTTCTGTCGTGGTGAAGAAAGAGCTGAGCTGAAAGGTGAGACTCTCAATTTAATGGTGAATCTATGGTCTAACCCTTGACATGAGATGTGTGCTTGTCATAGTGGTGAGGGGCTGTCAATCCAAACTGTACCCATCCAAGTCACGCTGATCAGTTCTTTTGAAAAGGGGTCATAGGGATGGGGTGAGAAGCTTGGTCAAGGAGGAGGGGTTCGGAGTAGATCCGCTGCTCCTCCACATCGAGAGGAACCAGTTGAGGTTGCTCGGGTTACAGTTAGGATGCCTCCTGGACGCCTTCCTGATGAGGTTTACCGGGCACGTCCAACCAGGAGGAGGACTAAAGAAAGCCCAGGACACAGTGGAGGGTCTATGTTTCTCGCCTGGCCTGAGAAAACCTTAGGATTCCCCTGGAGATGCTGGCCCACGTGGCTGGGGAGAAGTGTGGGCCTCTTTGCTTAGGCTGCTGCCCCCGGGGAGGAAAACCTAAGAAAATGGATGGAGGGATGGAACGTTCTTATGTAACTGGACACACGTTGCATCACCATTTAACACTTGTGCAGATTTTCTTTTACCTATGTTATGTTTAAATTGTGTCTTTCTGCTTTTGGTAATAATGAAGAACATAGAAGTTTAGAAGTTTAGGAGTTTCTTTCTGGCGCTTTAATGTACAGGATGTCAATCACATGTTAAGTTCTGATTTAGTACCAATCAGAAGAGTTATTGCAGTTGAAATAAGCTCAACTTGATCTTAATCTGACGATGCAGCAACATCAAAATGATAAATAAATAAGTCTTACAGTCTAATTGGTGGATTGTAAATGTTTAGAGGCCAGGTCAGGGACACAAGCTGAAAGTGGCTTTGAACATTTAATCAGATAAAGACTGCTATAAACAATCTTTAGTTGCACTTTTATTTGTACCTACTCTGCTTAGAGCATCTTTTAATGTTTAACTCAAAAGAGACACAAGACATAAGAGACCTTAAAGCTTACACATTTGGGTTTAAGTGGTTCAAAGCCAGTGCAGAGCTAAAGTTTGCTCAATTAACAAAAACATGAAAAAAATTAGCATCCTGCTCAGGTTTGAAATGGGAAAAAATAAAGGTTGGCCTCTTAAAGTGTCACTTAAAAGGTGCTAGATCCTTGCTGATTTTAGTATTAATGCTTTATCTAACGAGTCTCTGTCAATCTTCCACTTCTACAGACTTTCAACGAGTTTGAGATTGAGCAGCATCAGGAATGTGCCTATGACCATCTAGAGGCCTTTGATGGGGACAGTGATACAGCAGCCATCTTGAGTCGACTGTGTGGCAGCAAGACCCCAGAGCCTCTGGTCTCCACAGGGAACAAGATGTACCTTCGCTTCATTTCTGATGCTTCGGTGCAACGGAAAGGATTCCAGGCCACACACACCACAGGTGTGTCCTCCTGTACACATAAATGTCCCAGAATGTATCACTGAAGTGTGTGGTTGTGAAATCTTACCATCGACATATATACGCGTCTTACTCAAATGTGAGTTCTTCTAAGGGGTGGCATCTCCCTCTAGTGGTTAAATCGTGCAAACACATGATGAAACTCAGTGATGATACTCAGAAAAATTCAAAACATTTCTAAACGTTTTAGCAAACATTTCTATCCCAGTATAATGTTTCCTCCTTTTGTGTATTTTTTAGAATGCGGAGGTCGTCTGAAAGCAGAAGTTCATCAGAAAAACCTTTACTCACATGCTCAGTTTGGAGATAACAATTACCCAGGTCACACTGACTGTGAGTGGCTGCTGACCACTGAACAGGGCTACGGCATCGAGCTCACCTTTATCATTTTTGAGGTGGAGGAGGAGGCCGACTGTGGGTATGACTACATCGAGCTCTACAACGGATATGATGCAAATTCACACCGGCTGGGCCGTTTCTGTGGTTCTGGGGTAAGCTCTCCTGTTCTGTCCTGTTCTGTGTATCAGGGAGGGGTGCACTTCTGTTTTAATTTAGATTTTTTTTAATGATCAGAAGGAAAATGTAATATTTATGTGCGCATCTAAGTTTATTCATGGGAAATACCTGTTTATATTATTATTATTTATATGCTTTTGTGTTAAGGTTGCTGGTAGTTTATTTGTTGTTGTTGTATTATTTATTTATTCATCTGACCTTTTGTTTATAGTGGAAATGTGACTGTGTACAAAGGGTAGGCACACAAAAGCTAGGCCTCAGCCAACACCTCTTGGTTTCTTTTATATATTCACACACCGATGGTGATGAGCTACGGTGTAGCCACAGCTGCCCTGGGGCACACTGGCAGAGATCCCTCCGACCACCACCATAAATACACCATAAGTTCATGGATAAGGCCCCAACAGATGAAGTGCTCAGTGAATGTCTCAGACAATGGCGAAAAGAGGAGGAGTTGTAGGAAATACCATCATGGGAGGACAAACCGCTACATGGGATGTACCACTGACAGATAACTGAAGTGGCTGATATCTAGAAATCCTACCAGTGGCTAGAAAGAGCTGGTCTGAAGGACAGCACAGGGACACTCATCATGGCTGCACAGGAACAGGCCCTGAACACCAGAGCAACAGAGGCCAAGATCTACCACACTAGACAAGACCCAAGGTGTAGGCTACGCAGAGGCCCCTGAGACAATCCACCACATAACTGTAGGGTGGAAGATGATGGCAGGGAAAGCTTACATGGAACGCCACAACCAAGTGGCTGGCATCGTGTACAGAAACATCTGTTCAGAGTATGGACTGGAAGCTCTAAGGTCAAAGTGGGTAACACCCCCTAATGTGGCTGAGAACAAGAGAGCCAAGCTCCTGTAGGACTTCCAGATCCAGACTGACAAAATGGTGATGGCGAACCAACCAGTTGTCGTGGTGGACAAACAACAGAGGACAGTCGTTGTGGTAACCAAGTGATGGCAACATCAGGGAAAAGGAACATGAGAAACTAGAGAAGTACCAGAGCCTCAAAGAAGAACTTGAGAAAGCCTGGAGAGTGAAGACATCGGTGATGCCCGTGGTCATCAGGGCACTCGGAGCAGTTACCCCCAGACTGGAGGAGTGGCTAAAGCAGATCCCAGGAAATACATCAGACATCTCAGTCCAGAAAAGTGCAGATAAGAACAGCTTAGATACTGAACAGAACCCTCAAGCTCCTAGGCCCTAACCCTAACCCTTGGAAGGATGAGACCACCCGTGGAGGGGGAGATGGGGATGCACTTACCACCTTCTCAGTGGCCTGAGAAATATATATATATATATATATATATATATATATATATATATATATATATTTATGTGTGTGTGTGTGTGTGTGTGTGTGTGTGTGTGTGTGTGTGTGAGAATCAGCCAATCAAAGTTTATTTGTGTAGCACTTCAACCCTCTGGAGGCAGGTGTTGCAGATTTGCAACGTTAAAACCTGCCTACCTGGTTACTCCACATACGTATTTCATGAACATTTTTTAACTCAGAAGTTCCCCTGCAGGACTTAGTTGTTTGTCCTTTTATCAAAACTTATTTTGAGTCTGAGAGGGTTAAATGCAACAATGTTGCATAAAGTAAAGAGCTAAACAGAAAATGAAAAATACAATAAAATGACAAAAGTCAATTAAAAAATATGAAATAAGCACAAAAAATAAAAATCTGACACATGGGGTCATATACAACAGGACAGTCCTGTCAGCCCAAGGTGTTAAAAGCTTTGGAGTAAAAACAAGTCTTCAGTAACTTTTTAAAAGTAGCAACAGATGATGCCTGCCTAATGGTGACTGGTAACATATTCCAAAGAAAAGGTGCCGCCACTGTGAAAGACCTAAAATCTCTCTGTAGCCTTGCCTTGGGACATTCAATCGGACCAATTAGTTGGTCAGCTGACCTCAGTCCTAAAGATGGAACATAATGCATGAGAAGCTCAGAAAGATAGACGGGTGCAAGGCCATTTAAACATTTATGAGCCAGAACCAAAATCTTAGAATCACACAGAACCTAACCGGGACCCAGTGCAGAGGCAAGAACTGGAGTGATGTGATCAAATCTACAACTGCCAGTCAAAAGATGGGCTGCAGCATTCAGAACTAGCTGCAACCTAGCAATACTCCTATGAGTAATGCCATGGAAATACAGGAGAGCCACTCAGTGTCAGTACAATTAGCTCAGTCTTAGAATCATTAATCTGCAAGAAATTACATCTCATCCAGTCCTTAACCTCACAATAGAGCTATTTCCTTAACTTCAGTGGGGGCATAGACCTGACAGTCATCGGCATAAAAATGAAAGTCAAGGCCATATGTCTTAAAAAATAGCCCCAAGTAAAAAAAAAAAAACGATTGATTTTGTTTGTTTGTGTGTGTGTGTGTGCGCGTGTGTGTGTGCATGTGTGTGTGTGTGTGCCTTCAATGATCAAAATGTAGAAAAACTAAATCGTCATCACAGTTTTCTTCCTCTGTTCTTGTCCTCAGCCCAGAGAGGGGATATATTCACCTGGAGATACCATGCTGATCCGTTTCCATAGCGATGACACCATCAGCAAAAAGGGCTTCCACATACGCTACACCAGCACCAAGTTCCAGGAGAGCCTCCATGTCAGGAAATGACTCTCGACTCTAACCTGTGACCTCTGAACAGCCTCGGCCACCGTTATCCTGACCGTCACCATGACAACGAGAAAAGTACAGATTGTTCCCTCTTCTCTGACTGGCAGACAGACAAGGATGCTGGGAATGCTAATATTTGTCTCCAAATGTGTCCGCGCTCTCTGAAAGAGACTAAAGACACCAAGACGTTCGGGGAAATTTATCTGCATGCACCGTTTTCACAGAGGAGACCGTTTCATGACTTCTGACGACAAGTTTCAGAGAGAAGGTCGGTGGAGATCCAAATCAGTTTGTTGAGATACTCAAGCGCACACACAAACTAGATTCATACTGAGAATTACAAACTATAGATGCTAAAAAAAACTGAAGAAGGCATTAAAAGAGGAGCTCTTTGTGAGTCCTTGATGTTTGAACTGTGCCACTTACTCATATCCAACAGCTGCTTACACTTAAGAGACTCAAGAGTAACTGCTGACAGAAGTTTTAATGCCTTTGATGTTTGGGAGCTGGCCTGTTCAGCCCAGCTCAAATCGGCTGCAAATAGTTTTATTTCTATGTATTGTGAAATCCAATGTGTTTACTGTGTATATGAGGGTGTGTATTGTGTTGTGTGTATGTGTGCATGTGTGTGTATGTAAAAGAGAACAAGATAGAAAAGTCCATCCTTTATTGTGCTACGTTTGCTCAAAGCGTGTGCTTAGGCAGTAAAAGAAAAGAACAATTGAAGATTTTCTAAGTGGTGTTTATTTTAAGCCTTGCTTCATACTCTGTTTTTGTTATTAATAATTTTGCACTGTCATGTTTCACTAATGTCTCCAGTTTTATCCTCACCACAGTGTTTTGTTTTAAGGTGTTTTTTCTGAAGGGAATACCTCCGACAACTGTCTCTTGGAAGTGAGGGATTGAAGGAGAGACTCCCATGGTGCTAATATAAAACGGAATGAAGGTTTTTAAATGGAGATACGGCAGACTGCATCAGCAGCTCCAGATCTGTGGAACTTAATATTGCCTTAGAACCAAATCCATGCTACCACAGGTCACTCCGCTGCTCTTGCAGCGGTGTCTTCTCCGGTCAGCGTTGTTCAAAGTGTTTGGCTGAGTATTTTATGTTTGAAGATGTTGAACAGTGGTATTGTAAAAGAGAAAATACATGGGAAGTATCATTTGTGTGTGTGTGTGTGTGTGTGTGTGTGTGTGTGTGTGTGTGTGTGTGTGTGTGTGTGTGTGTGTGTGTGTGTGTCTTTTACATGTTTCTTTGAGAACCTCTTTGTGTGTTTTTCTGTGTTTTAAAACCCACATCTGACCATTTCCTCTTTGTGTACTCAGAGCATGAAGAGGAGGAAACAAAAAAGTTGAAGGAAAATCAGCTGAGCATAAAGAAATTGAGTGTGTGTGTCAGTATGTGTTACGTGTTTAAACTGAGTATTTTTTGTTGCTGTTTATGTGCCAAGCTCCACGTGACCCTGATCCACTTTAGAATTAATTTTTTTTATCACTCAACCTTTGTGTCTGTAGATCTGAGACTCAGACACCACGTCCTCTGCTTCACTCATTAAAGTACAAACAGTTCAACCCACTTGTGCGTGTCACATCTTTCTGCTGGTTTTTGGTATCTGGGTGTGTTTGGTATTTAATACTGTAATACTGAGATGGACTGGCAACCTGTCCGGGGTGTACCCCACCTGTTTACGCAAAAACTGCTGGAGATAGGCACCAGCCCAAGACCCTGTATGGACATGCGGGTATAGAAAATGAATGTATGGATGTATTTCATATTAAAAATATAATGACATGGGAACTAACTAAATCAAAAACATAGAATTAAAGGCCTAATGTTGCATTAAGGACTTCAAATAACTTGAAAACTTACATATTTGCTTTTAAGAAACTCAGGTACGACTATTCAGAAATTTAGCCTAAATGGGAAAAATTATGAAAAACTCACCTTTTCCATCCTTTTGTTCTGCCATGTGGGTCACTGCAGCCTCTATAAACACGAGTTTTTTGTTAAGATGTTGGTTTAAACAACTAATCCAACTAACCAACCAGAGCAAATGTTGGCTTCGGCAACATAATCACTATGAAGGTGCTTCCACTTAGTGCTTTTAGATGTATACAATCATTTATTTGTTTGTTTTCTAGATTAGATGTTTAAAATACATAACATAATTTAATATTTAAACATGGCTGCTGTCTATAAATTGCACATATTAATGCTATCCAACATGAAAACAGCAGTGCAATGCTCTGCAAACTTCCATTTACTTTAATGTGTGTGCTACTGCTGCTATCCTGCTTTACCTGAGCCGTTGCTATAATGCAATTTCCCCACTGAGGGACAAATAAAGGCATTCTTATTCTTATTAAACAATTTCTTTTTCACCTTTTTATTTAAAGTCCCTGTTTCCCAATTGGCATCAAGTCTGGTCAGTTAGTAATTCATTAATTTTCTTTTTATATTTCCTGTCTCTGAACTTTTAGTTTATTTATAACTGAAATACATAGAGGAAAGTTCCTGCCCTCAAGGTTTTCACACATTTTGCCACTGAAATTAGTAGTTGCTGTTTTACTTCATATGACCACTAAAAGGCGCCATTTGTGAGCTTTTCAGTGGTTGATGCTTTGCAATGCAGCTTGGTCTCTTAATAAAATAAAGATCTCCACCTGTAAAAAAAATTGTCATACAAACTGAAATTACTAAAAAAACTAACTTTAAAGCTTAAAAAATCGGCATCATATTTAGGCTTCCGAAATGAGCGCACAGCTCTGAGCTGCTGATGTTGTGTAAGATGATTTTCACAGAGCTTCTCTCACCAGAGCAGCTAAATCCGTACACTCAGACTGGGTCAGCTTGCTGCTGCCTGACATGGTGGTTTCTCCATGTTGCAGCGTTATTGCAGCAGCTTGTTAAGCCTCCATCAGTATGTTTCCACCAGCAGGTCACCCAGAGAACTGCAGTCACATGGTGCGTCCACAGCCTGGATCTGATCCACTAAGGCTGTCAAATGACCTGGCCTTGTTTAAAAATCTAACAAAATCATTTGGATCCACACATTTACAAATATTTATGTGATTTTCAGGTTGAGTAATAATTTTTAATCAAGATGTTCTTTACTCAAAGGGAAGATGTATTTTTGTTTGTTGATTTTGACCCACAACTAATAAAAGTGCATCCTCTAACAGATTTTTTCCATTATTTTGTAGGAATGAACCATTTCTTAATCCTTTCACAAAATCTTTCCTGAGACTTTTCTGTCGTAACCGGAAACCTGCGATCAAAACGAGATAGCGCTAAACACCAGTCGCTGTTTTCTAAGTCCAAACGTCTTTTGTTGTCCGTGACTTCAAATGGTGTTTTTCTTTTTGGGACTCTTGTAGTTTGTCCTAAAGTTAAAGTGGTAGCAGCCGGCTGTTTCTCCTTGTCTGATATTATTGAGAAGAGAACCTCTCACACCTGTGGTGTTGTGTAGCTAAATCCAAGAGTGTGTAATGAATGGAGCACCCAGGGAAATGCAGAAGTGTAGTGGTTCGACGAGACCGACAACCGGATGGTCTAGTTGTTGCTTTCGGTCTGAAGCGTGTTATTGGTGAAGGTTTTCAGACAAACGCAAGAGAACCACTTTATAACTTTTTGTGTTTTTAATCTTCATAATATATTTATATCTATATTATGTTAGAATGTTGTTAAGAGGCATGGTTAAAAAGTTTGAGGCAAATTTGATTTCCAAAGTTGCTATTGCAGCTTTAATAACCAAAATAAGCGCTCTACTGAATATCCTGCAAGCGTATTACTGCAGCTCCATGGATGACTGAATCTACTCTGGTCACTTGAACACACCATCCACACTTATTCACAGTACTAACTCAAACCTCTTTTCATGACTTCTGTGACCTTACTTAAGCTTTAACAATTTTTGACATGACTGAAACATTATCTACACTTCTTCTGCAAAAGAAGACCATGTGACACAACTGACCCTCAGTGAATCCAGTAGTCCTAAAGAGGTCCTTTACTCATATTAATAATACAGCTTGGCTCTACCACTGACAACTGCTTTGCAATGTTGATGTTTTATCCCCACAGATGACACAAGCCTGCCGTGTTGTGGAGTTTCTAATACTAATGGTTAGCTTCTAATAGTCGAGACATTCTCTGGTCATTCCTGCGCTAAAGCAACAACAGCCTCCCCCGTCGTGAGTCAAGATGGGTGAGTCCATGAGTGTTTGGTGACAGCGTGATGTAGATCTGTCAGGCTTTTAAAATCCCAGAGTTTCACCGTTTAATTTCTATCAGAAGCTGATGCAGGAGGTAGGAGTAGGAGACTATTTTCATGTTCAACCTGCATAAAAAATTCAGTAACTGATCATTTTCAAAACTATTAAATAAGAAATGGTTTCTCAGTGAAAGACCTCTTTAACAATTCCCTTTCTCGCATCACAACTCCACATTTAGTTTGCACAGAAAGGAAGTTCCTAAAGTGATGGTTCAGGTCACATGGGATGGAGCTCTGTGGAAATCTTACAAAATAAATCTTACATGTCATAGGTAGCTCTTTGAACAACCTCAATTACGAGAAACGGGAATTAGTTCTGACTGACTTGATGAGCAAACATGAGATATACTATAATCTACAAATCAGACAATAAAAATGCCTCCATGCAGGAGGCGAAGTGCAGCTCATATCATCCAAACGTTATTTTGGTCACATAGCATCTTTAATACCACCATTATAATAATTAGGATATCAAAAGTATCGAGTATACATACATAATTTGCATTGCGTTACACAAATATGAGCTGATTTATGTTTTCATATCTTTCATTTGTTGTTCTCAGGATCAACGTTTATTGTCTTGACATTGTGCTGATACATTAAATTGTCCTGAACAACTCCACGCTATTTCAGGAAGGAGAACATTTAATTGGACATGTATTGTTAAGCAATATAAAAAGCTTTTTTTGATATTTCCAAATGTAACTTGAATCCTATAGTCTACTACTTTCCAATACCAATATTCAAGAATCTTGATATAAGACAAACTAGAGTCCATGTCACCAAAATCAAAGTACTTTAGGTAGGTTTCTGCACCCACTGCGGTCTTGATATTATTCTGTTTTCTTTTTTGCAGTTAAGTTCTTGAAGCTGTAGGAACAGTCTCTTGAAGCCATGCCTGTTTTTGTAACAGTCCCAGTAAATGGATCCTCAGGAGTCTGAAGATGTGTGTAATCATGTGTGTTTATGGATTTGTTGTTTGAGGAAAGGTGAAAAACTGTGAAAACGCCTCACTTTGGCTCCACCACCTTCACCGTCTCAGTCCACTGCCTGTCAGACGCTGGTGATGGAGGCCAGGCAGTTCGATGACTTCTGGAGTTTCTCAGGCTGTGTGGTGGAGGGCTCTGGGATGGCGCGAAAGCTGAAAGGCAGTCCAATACTACTGGTGCCAATGTGGCCTGGGCTCAGCGCCGGATTCTGCCGTCTATTGCTTTCCACAATACTGGATGTGTTGGATGCAAGACTTTCACGTGTTCTGCACAACAAACACAAAGTTAGTGTTACTTTGGAAATTCACCGTGAAATCCTGTAAAGCAATGAAAGTTATCAGGGAGAAAGGATTAGTCTAACGAATACATTTTAAAACACTATGGTTTAAAATACATTTTCTTATAACTAAACCTGAAACACAGTATATGGTCGGCATTAAAAACACTATGACCCCATTCTAGACCCGTTGTGAGTTATTGTTTACATCAGGGTAACTGCACACATCCACTCTAGCCTTAACCAGAGCTGTATCTCCATGATTTAAGCTAACATAATAAAACCTAGGGATTTATAAATTACTACTTTAGACCATCTAATGCATCTTCGTGCAGTAGAACAACAAAAAAATAGAAATGTCAAAGCTAACAGTATTCACACAGAGCTTCCAGATCTGTTAGCTAACAAGCTGTGGAAACGACAGTCCTCTGAACCGACCGTCTGGACTTCTCACAGCTGAACCAACGAAGGAGTACCCAGATGTGGGTTGACTCTGACAGTTAATCTACGATTTTTCTTGGTCTGCCACTTTGAGGAGAAGGAAAAGAAGAAAAAGTAAAAGAAATAGAAGAAGAAATATTTTCTGTAGCTATTGAGCTTTAACCTGAACAGTGCCTGTGGTCTTCCATTTCCTCAATATGATCCTAACTAGGGAAACAGCTGAGATCTCTGAGCGCTTTCTGTGTCCTTCCTCTAAACCATGGTGGTGAACAATCTTTGTTTTCAGGTCATGTGAGAGTTGTTTTGAGACCCCATGTTGCTGCTCTTCAGAGAATATTCAAAGAGAAGGGACACTTACATTGGCCCCCTTAAATACTTTCTCATTATTGGATTCACCTGTGTATGGAGGTCAAGGGTCACTGAGCTTACCAAACCACTTTTGAGTTCCAATAATTAGTTCTAAAGGTTTTGGAATAAAAAAAATGACAATAGCGCCCAAATATGTGCGCCAAACTAATTTTGTTTTAACAATTATTTCACACTTTCTGTATATTCTATAAACCTTGTTTCACTTCTCAAGTATCACTGTGT